CTGCACGTCACCTTCTCCCGCCCCTTTGCCTAAAGCTCTTGTAAATTCTTTCAGATTACCCCTCCCCCTACCTGATGTATAAAAACACTTGCAAAACTCTGGAATGATGAACATGCTGTCTTTTCTACCTCGTCATGCTGTTGGTGGTTAGGCTCCATGCCCACGACTGGTCTTTTGCCTAACATTTTTGGCTCAATAAAATCTTACTTAAAAAAGATTTTAGTGGTGGAAATTAAATATTTTTGGTTTAACATAGGAAATATAAAGAAGTTAGACAGAGCCCAAACCTTAACATACTGACAGCCTAGCAAAGGGAATGGATCTGTGGATATGCACTATTAACTGAGAAACTAGGAATTAACCAGAATTGGGGAGATGCTCATTTGTCCAGGGCTGTTAAACTGCACCACTACACTGATGAGATACTGTCTGCCTTAGGCTCATGGTTGGTGAAGGTGGGATGAGATGAGAGCCCCAGAGGCCAGGGGACATTTTACTAGTGTGTACCCTTTTATTTACAACTACCCTAAAATGAGATTCCCTTTTGCCTCCAGGCCTAGTCTCCGAGTCCTTTATTTCCAGGAACCCTGATTGGCAAAGATGATAAACAAACATTCTTTCAGCTCCTGCACAAGGCTCAGTTAGACCTGAAAGGTTTTGACTTGTTCCTGTTCCTCTGTAAGAACCTGATTTTGATTATTGTTGGGATGCATTCCAGAGCTGGCTGCAGCCCCAGCTTGTCACTGGTGCCTGCCTGCCTGGCCTTGGTGCTAAACACCACCCCTCACATCTGCCCTCTTGGCTCCTTGTACATTGCCAGTTGGTCCATGACCCCTGGGTCTCCATCGGTGAGCTATGTGGCGCTCAGCAGCTACTACCTACTCTACTTTCCAGGGTACAGAGTGTCCCTCCACCCTCTGGCTTGATTCACCTTCACATCTTGCCAACCCAGGCTTTTAGCCCAATCTAGTAGCCCATGTAAAAATTGGCTGGAACTTTTCACTTCACAGACTTGTCTTTCACCTTCTGTAACAAAGACCTTATTTGTTCCTTAGGAAAGAGGTGGCTGTTCCCTTGGAGGAAAATTTGTTTTCTTTAAAAAATTTCTGTGTAAAATAATAAAGGCAAAATAAGTGTTATGAAACATACTAACAAAATAAACATCTGTGAACACATTACCTTAATAAGAATTAGAATATTATTGATATGGTTGCATCTGCCTGTGTGCCCCTCCCCTGGTCCGTATGCTTGCCTCCCCCCAAGAGGGAGCCACTATCCTGAATTTTGTATTTATTATTTCCTTTTGGTTTTTAAAAGAGTAGCTTTATTACTCTTGTGTGTATACATGTATATGTCTACAAGCCTTGCTTATTATTTACTTTTGCTTGCTTTTGAGCCTTATGACAATGGTGTCATATTGTATGTAGATTTTTTTCCTACTACAAACAATATGCTATGATTATTTTTTTACAAACATTTCCTGGTGCCCATGGATTGTAGAGCATGTGAATGTTTAAGTTCAGAAGATAATTCCAAATGGTGTTCAAAGTGATTGTGCTAATTTACATGGTTATGATATTGAATGTAAATACCCATGCTATAACTCTCAAATTATTTAGTTCTTAATTAATGTCTACTAATAATATTTTATTATTTTCCCTCATAGGTATTGAGCATTTTTTTGTTCATCTGCTGCTATATATAATATTTACAGTTCTGAGTTATATTAAATAAGTTTCTTTTTTTTACAATTATATTTTCTGTTGCTGGTACATGTAAATGCAACTGATTATTAAATATTGACCTGATATTTGGTTACCTTGCCAAAATTTCTGTTGCATTTTACAGATACTTTTGGAACAATTATATATTATAAATGATAGTTTTGTTTCTTTTTTTATTTTTTTACTTTAATATTTTTCTTGTCTTGTTGCATTGGCCAGGATTTCCAAAGTAGTTTAAGCAAAAGTGGTAAGAGGTGGCATCCTATCTTTTTTATTTTTCTTTCTTTCATTTTTTGTTAATTTTACCTGAGGATATTTTTTCCTTTTTTTTTTTTTTTTTTTTTGATAGAGAGTGAATGAGAGGGAGGGGGAAAGAGATATATATATATATAGAGAGAGAGAGAGAGAGAGGGAAACATCGATGTGAGAGACACATGTCAATTGGTTGCCTTCTGCATGTATTCTGATTGGGGGTGGGGAATGAACCTGTAACCCAAGTATGCTCCCTTGACTGGGAATTAAACCAGAGACCCTTTGGCATGCAGACCAACACTCTACCACTGAACTTCATTTGCCATGGCTCATTTTTTATTTAAAAGGAAATGATCTTACATTTCCACATTAGAATAATGTATCTTATAGGCTTTTGTCAGTTAATCTTAGACCAACTAAAGAATTTTCTTCTATTCCCAGTTTATTAAAAGTCTTTATTATACGTGAGTAAATTTGTCAAATTCTTTTTCTGCATCTGTTGAGAGGCTCTAATTAAATAATTATTAAATTTGGTATAATTGACATGCAACATTGTATTAGTTTCAGGTGTACAACATTTGTATATTTTGTAAAAAGTCGCCGCAATAAGTCTAGTTAACATCCATCACCATATGTAGTTACAGAAATATTTTTCTTGTGATGGGAACTTTTAAGATTTACTGTCTTAGAAAATTTTGAATATACAAAACAGTGTTATTAATGACCTATTTATTTTATAACTAGAAGTTTTACCTTTTGACCTCCTTTACCCATTTCATACACCTCCCCCACTCCCTACCTCTGGCAATCACCAATCTGTTCTCTGTATCTATGAGCTTGGTTTTGTTTGTTTGTGTGTGTGTTTTTTGGTTAATCCTCACCTGAGGATATTTCTTCCATTGATTTTTAGAGAGAGTGGAAGGAAAGGAGGGAATATGGGGGTGCATGACACTTCCCCTTCCTGACTGGGGCCAAGGATTGAACCTGCACCTCAGGTATGTGTCCTTGACCTGGAATCAAACCCTTTGATGCACAGGCTGACACTGACTACTGAGCAATACAAGCCAGGTCTGTTTGTTGTTTTGATTCTACACATAAGTGATATCACACAGTATTTTTATTTTTCTGTATGAACTATTTCACTTAGCATAATACCTTTAGGGTGCAACCATGTTGTCACAAATGACAATATTTTATTCTTTTTCATGGTTGAATAATATTCTATCATATATACACAGTATTTTATATATACAGCATCACATTATCTTCATTCATCCATTGATACACACTTAGGTTGTTTTCATATTTTTGCTCCTATAAATAATGCTGCAATGAACATGGAGGTACATATGTCTTTTTTTAGTGAGTTTTTTGTTTTTTTCCAGATGAATGCCTAGGGGTGAAATTGCTAGGTCACATGGTATTTTTATTTATTTTATTTTTTTAATAAAAAAATATTTTATTGATTTTTTTAAATTATTTTTTTTTTTTTAGAGAAGAAGTGAGAGGGATAGAGAGTCAGAAATATCATTAGAGAGAAACACTGATCAGCTGCCTCCTGCACATCTCCCACTGGGGACATGCCCACAACCAAGGTACATGCTCTTGACTAGAATTGAACCTAGGACCCTGCAGTCCATAGGCTAACGCTCAATCCACTGAGCCAAACTGGTTACAGCTATTTTTATTATTTTTTTAAAAATAAGATTCATACTATTTTCCATAGTAACTGCACCAATTTACATTAAAAGATGTCTAAATAGACATTTTTCTAAAGAAGACATACAGATGGCCAACAGGTACATAAAAAGATACTCAACATCACTAATCATTAGGGAAATGCAAACCAGAACCATAAAGAGACATCACCTCACATCTGTTAGGATGGCTACCATAAAAAAGACAAGAAGTAACAAGTTTTGGTGAAGATGTGGAGAAAAGGGGACCCTTGTGCACAGTTGGTGGGAATGTAAGTTGGTGCAGTCACTATGCATATGCTTTTATTTTTATCCTTTAGTGTTAGTGTGTAGTACATCATAATGATAAATTTTCTTATGGTAAAACCCTCCTAAATTTCTGGAATAAATAAAACTTGGTCATAATGTATTATCTTTTTGTATACTTTGGGACTCAGTTGCTAATATTTTGTTTAGGACTTTTTACTTTTACTTTTTACTGTATCTCCATGAGTAAGTCTGGCCAGTGATTTTCTTTTCTTATACTGTACAGGTCTGGTTTTGACATTCAAAGTTATATTGGATTCATAATCTGAATGAGGGATGTTTTTCTTGTGACAATCTGCTGATGCTTTTCTAATAGTTATTTTGGCCTTCTTTCTTTAACAACAGAACTGTAATTTTTAGCTGGACATGTAGCTAAAGATTATATTTCCAGTCTCCCCTACACTCCCCCATGTGATTAAGTTTTGGCCAGTATCCTTTAGTGTCAATTCTTTATAAGCTCTGAATCCTGAGAGTTATATTCCTGCTCTGAGAAATAGGTCCTTGAAAGCATTTGTTTCTAATGGTGACTAGTCTTATTAAACTAAAAAGTAAACTTGAGTATATAGGTTTCTTAATATAAATATATTGCACTGAGGTAGGATTAGAGAAATATCTTCATTGCTTCTTGATATACATTTGAAGCTTTTCTAGATACCTTAGCAGAATGGAAAAATGTCATTCTTGAAGTCACTAAACCAGCCACTTTTTACATAAAGAGTTCTATTAATTTTTTGTTTTATATACAGTATTTTGAACCTATTTTATTATGTTTATTTTATTAAATTTATAATATTTGTATCTTCTTAGTAAATGAAACATTTAAAAAATCATCCTATATAATAAAAGGCTAACATGCAAATTGTCCCCTCAAGTGTTCAACTGACCGGGAGTTCAACTGGTCGCTAAGACTGATGTACTGATGACCAGGGAGTGGCCTGGAATAAAGAAAGGCCCTGGCCAGCAGCCAGAAGGAAGGCCCTGATCACCGTCCAGGCATTGGGTCTCTAGTTATATATTATTATTTTATATCCATAATAATGCTTTTCTCAAAAGTCTATTTTGTCTGCTATAAACTTAATAAAATATATATAAAATAAAGTCATCCCAACTTTACTTCAAACATTTTCATGTCCTTGTACATCAGGTAGGTCTCTTGTAAACATCATAGAATTAAGCAGTATTCAGCTTCCAAGATAGACCCCAATGAGTTATGTCTCCCAGATTCATATCCTTGTATAGTCCACTCCAATATGGAGTAGGGATAATCTGTGAAACCAATAGGATATTGTGGAAATAGCAGTTTGACTCCAGAGACTAAGACATAAAAAATATTGTGTCTTTCATTTTGCTTTCTCTTGAATCACTTGCATAGGAGGAAGCCAGTCACCATGTCATGAGGACATTCAAACATCCCTATGGAGAAGTTTACACATCAAGGCACTGCGACCTCTTGATAAAAAACAGAACCAACTTACCAGCCTATGAATGAGCCTTCTTGGAAGCAGATCATCCAGCCCCAGTCAAGCCTACACATGGCTGGCATCCCAGCCACCAACTGAGAGACCTTGAGCTAGAACCACTGAGAAAAGCTAACCAAGTGCAAAAGAATTATTTCTTAGCTTCTACAAAGAAATGTGGTCTCTTGTTGTTCTTGAAACTTAACTCTCTTAAGTGTGTCTTATTTTTTCCACTTTAGTTGGGAAAGTGGCTACAAAGAGATGTTTCTGTGCCTGAAAAATGACAAGGCATGTGGAATGATAAATGTCAACAGGTGTTGGACCTCATTGTTGGAGACATAATAACATGTGGAAGGGACTGGCAAATTGGAGAGAACATACCTATCCAAAGACAGAAAACCCTCCTCTCTAACTGATGTTTCCTTGTGAGAATGTGGCTCAGTTATGTAAGACCAGCCAGTCTTCCAAGTAAAGCCGGAAATCCACATTTAATGTAAAATACCCTAAGTCGTAAATATTGGCTCAAAATTTAAACACACACACACACACACACACACACACATACACACACACACACAGTCATATGCATACACCTGACTACTTTGTGGAAAAGCGAGGGCCAGAGAAGTTTAGTCACTTTCTCAAGATGGAGAATGAAGTAAGTGGAGACTCTGACCTCCAGGAAAGTTCTCTCCTGTGAATAAGACGTGTGTTTTCACCTTCACTGTCCCTTTACTGCGCTCCACTGTGTGATGTCATGCTGATGTCCATATATACTGTATATATCAAATCACGGCAACTAATTATTAGTGGTAGGCAGGGATGCCTGTGTGTCTGTCCATCAGGAGAGACAAATAGCTCTGGGTCCAGAGAACAGCTAGTCAGACAGGAAGTGAGTTTCACAACAAGAATTATAAGATGTGTCAGTAGACGCTGCTCTGTCTGGGACACTGCTTGAAGAGACTTGAATTATTAATAAAAATTATAGGGAGCTAAAGTGGCCTTTCAAGGTCCTTTATCCAATTAAAGGAAGACAATTCCAAGTGCATTTCCAAGCACCATTATTTTTTTATTTTGAAAAGTTTATACTGATGTACAACTTCCATAGAGAAAGTACCCAGATCATAAACAACAATTCAACAATTTTCCACAAACTAAACACCCCCTCTGGTCACCAGCACCTGGTGGAGAAATAAAACATTAATAGCATCCTGGAAGCTTCCCTCATGCTTCCATCTAGTCACTAAACCACTTCTCCAAGAGAAACCATTTTGCTGACTTCTAACAGCATCGATGAGTTCTGCCAATTTTTGCATTTTATGCAAATGGAATATCCCATAAGTATTTTCTTAAATCTTGTTTCTTTCATGCAATATTATATTCATACGATTCATCCACACTATAGTGTGTGGGTGTAGATCATTCTCATTACTTTATAATAATTCTTTGTGTGAACAGCCCACAGTGGATGTATCCATTCCACTGTTGGTGAACCTTGGATAGTTTCCAGTGTGGGGCTATTACAAATAGAGGTATTGCTAAATTTGGTTCATTGTAAAGAGGTATTAAAAAGTAAATCAACATTTTTTTTAAACTGTGCTCTTTCAGAATTAAAAAAAAAATTCTACTTCGTTTTCTAGGGAAGCAAGAATCTAATTGGGTCAAGAAAGAATACTAGTATTTCTGCCCTGCTGGTGTGGCTCAGTGGTTGAGCATCAACTTATGAACCAGGAGGTCACAGTTTGATTCCCGGTCGGGCACATGCCTGGGTTGTGGGCTTGATCCCCAGTGTGAGGTGTGGAGGAGGCAGCTGATCAATGATTCTCTCTCATCACTAATGTTTCTCTATATCTCTTTCTCTTCCTTCCTCTCTGAAATCACAGGTGGTCTCTTCTTTTTCTCATTGGCAACTTACTTTGTAAGCTGATTTCTCAATAACTTTGGGTTTAATTCTTCCCTCCTCCCCTTTTTGTAACATTAAGAAAAAGCAAACATCATTTTAAAAACATTAAATACTATTCAAGCACATTGTGAAAAAAATTGGAAAATACAGAGACGTTTAACAAATAAGAAAATGACCACTTCCTGCCATCTACAGATAACGGTGAAAATATTGTTTCCAGTATTTTCTTCTCTATTTCACATAGTTGAGATTGAACAATATGTTTATTTATATCTCTTTTCACTTAAGCTTATACCATAACTATTTTCCCATGTCATTTATAACTGCTCTTGAACATTGTTTTTCCTCTCTATGTGATAATCCACCCCATGTGTATGCCAAAAGTTACTTGACTAATATCCTAAACGGAGACATTTAGGATGCTTACACTTTCCTTTGGCAATTAGAAACAATACTTCAGTGACTATCTTGAATGTAAATCTTTGTCCTCATTGTAGATAATTTCCTTAGCTAGTTCCTAGAAATGGAATTTACTGGATCCAAAATAATGACTTTTTAAAGGAGTCTGGTATATCCCATGTTGCCATGTTGCCTTACAGAAAGGTGCCACCAACTTTAAGAACTGAGAGCACAGGAGCACACAGTTCACTGCATCATCACTCATATTGAATACTGTTTATTATGGAGCATCTTCATACTGTTTCGTTTTAAGTATTTTAAAATGTCTCTTCTGATTTATTGTTTGACCTGTGAGTTATTTGGAAATTCCCAAAGGTTTGAGGCTTACAAAAAAGAAAAAAATAATTTGAATTGATTAAATTAAAAATTCAATTTAATTGTAGTGTGGTTAGAGAATATGGTGTATATGCTACCTATTCTTTGAAATGTATTGAGAATTGTGTGTAATCAATTTTGTAAATGTTAGGGTGACTAACCAGCCCAATTTGTTTGGGGCTGAAGGATTTCCTGGGATGAAAGACTTTCAGCGCTAAAATCAGGAAAGTCCTGGGCAAACTGGGCTGAGTCAGTTACTGGACTGAGAATAGTGTGCACTCTATAATTATTAGGTGCAGAGTTCTAAATAGGTACATTAGCTCAAGCTTACTTATTGTTTTAAAAAAACAAATTAAAATTAGCATTTTAATTTTGGAAAATTATAGATTTGTATGCAATTGTAAGAAACAATACAGAGAGGTTCATTGTGTCCTTTACAGTTTCAGATAATTAATACAGATTATCTTTTTTATTCAGATTTAACCAGTTTTACTTGTACGTGTGTGTGTGTGTGTGTGTGTGAGTGCACACACTGCATCTGTGTATTTAGTTCTGTACAATTTTATCAGATGTGTAGGTTTATGTACCCACCACTATGTCAAGATGTGGCCATCACAACAAATATTACTCTTGTTGCCCTTTTAGAACTACAAGCACTCCCTCATGTCCTTCTTCCCCACTAATCTGTTCATATCTCTACTTTTGTCATTTCAAGAGTGTTACATAAGTGGAATTATACAATGTATAACCTTCTGGGATTGGCTTTTTTCACTGAGTATAATTCCTTGGAGGTCCATACATGTTGTTTATTAGTAGTTTATTCTTTTTTTTATTGCTGATTAGTATTTCAAATATGGATGGACCATAGTTTAACTATTAACCCAATTAAAGACATCTGGGTTGTTTTCAGTTTTTCACTATTACAAATAAAACTTCTATGAACATTCATGCACAGAATTTAGTGTGAACTGAAGTTTCCATTTTCCCAGCAGAATGCCCAGGAGTGCAATTACTGGTTTTCACAACTGTTTTTTTTTTTAAATCTCTATTTTGCCAACTTTACATACTTGATCTATGGATAATTGAGACAGATTTTGAAGATGATTAATATCTCTTTTCACTTAAGCTTATACCATAACTATTTTCCCATGTCTTCAAAATGATGTATGCATTTTGAAGCCATTTTATAAGTTACATACAAATTTAGAACTGTTATAACTTTCTGTCTATACAGGAAGTCTATACAGGGATCAGGGATCCTATTTTGCTTCTGGGACCAGAAAGTCCACATGACAGAGCGGTTTAGACCTTCTAACTCTGTGGCAATAATAATGTAGGGTCATAGTTACTGAGAACCTGAAAAGATGAGTCTGAAGTTGTGCCATTCTTTTGACGACATTGTATCACAAGCATGCCATCACCAGGATGATTGATGACCATGAAGGAAGTGAGCATGCTATATTGTCCACAGATGATGTCTGTGCCCCAGAAGACAGGAAGTGAAGGAGGATGGCTTCCCTTCAGCTGAGGTGCTGGCAGTGCATGGTGGGAGCTGGTAGCCTGGCTTAGGAAATCTGGAGTGTTTACTTGGAGCAAACTGCCAAGAAAATTCTCTTCCCTGTGGCGTTCACGTCGGAGAAGAGATGCTGCAAAGGTATAAGGGAAAGGCAGAGATGAAGCCTACTAGGAATCTTTCCTCCCCTGAGCTTCTTGTGCATTTGTACTAGTAGATACACCCTGGAGGACTTACTCTGTAGGCAGGCATAGGTCAACTCATCCAACCCCCTGTCTCTGGGCAGCAATGTCCCAAGTGCCTCCAACAGTCACATCTTCCCATGCATGCTTAGTCTCTTAGTTTATCTTTCAAGCCCAGCTCTGGTGGCCCTTACACGTTCACCCCCAGAGATCCCTTTTCCTGGAGCCTCGTAGCACTTATTGTCTTCATAACCCTAATTTAGCAAAACCATTTTAGGATGACACCTTCCAGGAGAGCAGGGCTGTGTGGCATGTTGTTTCTGCCTGTATTACTTTCCTGTTGCTGCTGCAACACATCGCCACAAACTTACTAGCAGTGCTTAAAACAACAGAAACTCTTCTTACAGTTCCAGAGGTCAGAAGCCTGAAATGGGTCCAAATCAAGGTGTTGGCAGAACTGTGCTCCTTCTGTAGGTTCTAGGGCAGAATCTGTTCCTTGCCTTTTCTGGCTTCTAGAGGCTGCCTGCATGCATTTGCTGGTTTGTGGCTCCTACCTCACTAACCTATGCTTCTGTGATCACATCTCCCTGCCTGACTCTAACCCTCTGGCCTCCTCATGGAAGGACGCTTGTGATTAGATTAGGTTCACTTGGATAATCCAGGATAATCCCTCATCTTCATAGCTTTAATTTAATCACATCTACAAAGTTCCCTTTGCATGTAGAGCACCTGTGTCAAACACAAGGCCCTCGGGCCAAATCCGTCCCGCCAGGCCTTGCAATGTGGCCCACACCGTGCTGTCAT